CTACACCCTCATTTGAGTAGTTTTCATTTATAACTAAAATTCAGATGAAATTTTTAGGAGATAAAAATGCTAGTTTCTTTCTTTCAGATGCAATTTAACTTGCAAGATATAAAATGCATCCTCCAAATATATTTTAAAATTATTTTTATTTTGTGTATGTATTTGTCTGTAGTTTATGTGTGCACCATGCATGTCCCTGGTGCCTGGAGGCTAGAAGAGGAAGTCAGATCCTTGGAACTGGAGTTGCCAATGGTTATGAGATGTCATGTGATTGCTGGGAACTGACTCCAGGTTCTCTGCAAAATCAGACAGTGATCTCAACCACTGAGCAACCTCTAGTGTCCTAAACTGCACATACACACACACACACACACACACACACACACACACACACACACACACACACACACATGTACATTCACACATACAGATATACACACACCACACATATGTGTACAGAGACACACAAAAATCACAGACAGCACACACATAGACATACACCCACAGTTACACAAAAACCACACACACTTACACAGACACAAAACCCACACACATACACACACACATACATGTACACACAGAGGTATACACACACAAACACACACACACATGCATACATGCACTCACAAACACAAACACACAATAAATAAACATAAAGATACATTTTAATAAAATGCTATTTTTAGTCATATAATTTAAACCTAACACCACCCATTGGCAGTCTGTTTAGTCTGCATGGAAATTGTTTAGAGGCAGGAGGCACTCACAAACTTTTCGGCCACCTTGGTACTGAGTTGTCTAGTGCATGGTTATTCTGGATATTTGCTGTTGTGTAGCAACAGGAACAGGCTGTTCCTGCTACTTTAGTGGGTCTCAGTTTCATCAAGAAGATTATCAATTGATTCTTGGAAAGCATGAGAACTTGAAGACGTAAAGCTTTCTTCTGACAGTGGCTGAGTAATAAATTCACAGGACAATTTTACATGAAAACCGCCGGGAGGCCGCCTCCTTACATCCAGCTACAATCTTCGCTGATCAGAAAGACAAGCCAGATTTTCCAAACGTCTTTCCGTGTCATGCACTCTAATGAGAAAGGTAAGTCATGCATGCTTAGATAAGAAGACAAGAGAATTTATACTTCATTGATCGCCTGCTACATTCTGGGCTATTGTAGAACAGTATATAGTCTTGAAATAGTCTTATGAGGTGGCTGTTGAAGCTGAATTGATAAGTAAGGAAGTTGATATCAAAGAGGCTACAATATCAGTCAATTGAAAAGTTGGAGTTTGAAGCCAGGACCATTTAATTTCAAAGTCCAAACTCTGCAAGAACTCTATGCATGCCAGCCTAGCATGTACAGACACAATGATATAAAACACACACACTATCACACCATATACCCAACAGCACCAAACAACTGGGCATAGTGAGTCCATGGTGGTCAATACCACTACATTCTACTGTCGGTACTCATCTGTTTGGCATTTGAATCTGGCTTCAAGTGGAAAACCAGAAATGTTTGTGAAAGTTCTGTGCTTGTGTGTGCAAATGAGAAACTCAGGACTGACCGAGAATAAATTCAGTAAATTTCATTTGGTTTTATTTCTACCTCAATCTCAGACAGCTGAGCTTGCTGGCTAAGTTTCAAATGACTATATAATCAGTGAAGATTTCCTCCCCCTAAGGAAACTGGTTTCATTGAGTAGAACCATTCATTATATTATGATATTGTCATGTGATTCAGACAGTGCTCCCACTTGAGTTGTTTTGGATTTTTAGGATTGATGATGAGAGGGATCCAACTTTCTGCCTGGTCTAAACTGTTTATAAGTATATATTTGATATTGGGGGCACATAAAAATGCTGAAGCAGAACATGAGGGGGCATGGAATGTCTATGCTGCTCCCTCGTGTATCTCCATTACTTAGGTTTGTTCCTGAAATTCTCCTCTGAGTTTTTAAGCAACAAATGCCACAAATGCTCATAAATTTGGTTAATGCCAGGCACTGATGCTTCAGTGGCTTTCCTAAGCTAAATTCTTAGGCCTAATAACCCATACTCTCTAATGCAGTATTTCTTCTCACTCAATCAATAAATAGATATTTTCTCTTTTCTTTTTCATGGTTCTCTGGACATTTTAATTCCCCTAAGGTAACTGGCCTTCTCTGGTTCTGGTTGTCTATAAGCTGTCTAGTGGATTTTTTTTTTTTTGGTTTTTTTAATTTTATTTATTTATTTATTTATTTATTTATTTATTTATTTATTTATTTTGGTTTTTCGAGACAGGGTTTCTCTGTGTAGCTTTGTGCCTTTCCTGGAACTCGCTTTGGAGACCAGGCTGGCCTCGAACTCACAGAGATCCGCCTGGCTCTGCCTCCCGAGTGCTGGGATTAAAGGAGTGCGCCACCACCGCCCGGCTCTTTTTTTGGTTTTTTGAGACAGGGCTTTTCTGTGTAGTTTTGGTGCCTGTCCTAGAACTTGCTCTATAGACCAGGCTGGCCTTGAACTCACAGAGATCTGCCTGGCTCTGCCTCCTGAGTGCTGAGATTAAAGGCATGAGCCACCACTGCCTGGCATGTCCAGTGGATTTTTTTCTAGTTGACAAACTATGATAGTTGCAGGGAATATGGTAAATTTGATGTTAAGGTTATAAGAATAGCTAATATTGTAAGATAGTTTACAAAAAGGCTTAGAGGTATTATTAATATTATTATTATTATTTGGTATATTCATCATGTTAAACACAATCTTCCTCACAGTAGCTCAAGGTGAGAACTAAAATTTAACACACATCTGCACATACCTGGCAAAATATCCTACTGCACATGCCTACCACAATCCCCTATCAGTGTCCTCATTCTAAGTGTGCCAAGGTCAAGTGGCCAGTAGACCACAGTAGGCTATACTTTGAATGCATGTCTGTCTGTCTCTCTAATCAGTCTATGTGATTTTCACCCACACTCAGTACCCAACACATTATTTGTGGAGTGGCATCTTCGTGTGATTGCTATCCCTCCTCTAGAAAAGTCTGGTTTTGGGGAGAGGGGGCAGCAGGCTGTTACAGCTGTTATGACCAGCCTAAGGACCAATTGGAATGTCACATGCTATGGCCAATCCCTTAGTAGATAATTAGTGTGTAATTAAGAGGCACAACTAATGCAGCTGCAGAGCCAGCCTTTGTCGATAGTAATGATCCTTTGGGGATGGTATTTCTGCTTTCCTTTCAATGCCATTGTGGAAACTAGTGAGTAAAAGTGGGGGTCAGCCAGCAAAAGGAGACACGGAAAACTGACGGGAGCAGCCGTGGATTTGTTTGATACTGAAATGTCAGGTTTGCTTCCTTATTTTAAAGATGGTAAGATTTGGGGCCCTTTCATAATGTTCCAAATATGGCAACTGAGAATGCTGAAATAAGACGTCAGACTTTTATACTTGGGGTGTGTGTGTATATGTGTGCTTTTGATATGAAATTCGTGCTTTGGCCATGAAAGAAGTATTTTTGCACTCTTCCTGTTTAACCCAGAGATGGTCATTATGCTATCGAACTAGCTGTGGGAGCTCTAGATATACCTGGTATCAAGGTTTAAAGTAATATGCGTGTCTTGGTACTTGCTGCCAATCTCCAAGGAGATTGATATGGATATAGATTGAGCTAATATAGAATTTCCTTCTCAGGCAATAACAGGATGGGGGAAGGATATGACAGGCAGAAGAAGTTTGTGGTTGAGCAGGGAGAGTGTCTCTATTCTCCCAACTCAGCCACCCCACTCCTATCTTTCTAGACACGTGACCAGGCTGCCGTCACACTGCATCACTGTTTCATCTGCACCACTGAGTGACAACCTGGCTTGCTTGTGGAGGAGCAATAGCCCCGCCTGGGTCTCAATGTTTGTGAGACATCCTGCATCTCTGACAGCCAAGGAGCATCTCGTTTGCCATTGCCCATGGTTCTGCTAGTTCCCTGACAAGGCACGTGCTTGTTGTGAGCCACTCTGGGAACCACAGTAAGAGCTTTTAAATGACCCCAGGGCAGTTATGGCTTGTCTTTATTTACATTTTGATACTTTGTTCACCATTGATTTGGAGTATCAATTTTGAAATTTTAAAATATTCCATTAAAATACTTCCTATTTGGATGACGATGTTGTATAGCACCCCCTAAAATCTTGCTTGCTAGGCAAGTTCCTTATCCAACTGGCCCTAGGCTGTGCTCTGACGATGGAGTCTAATTAATTTCTTTAGTATGAATATCATGAGTTTTTTTGTTTGTTTGTTTTTTTCGAGACAGGGTTTCTCTGTGTAGCTTTGCACCTTTTCCTGGAACTCACTTGGTAGCCCAGGCTGGCCTCGAACTCACAGAGATCCGCCTGGCTCTGCCTCCCGAGTGCTGGGATTAAAGGCGTGCGCCACCACCGCCCGGCGAATATCATGAGTTTTAAAGACATAAATATCTGGTATTTGGCACCATCTATCAGTATTAAAGCAAAAAGTCAGCAAAAAGGTTTCAAATGGCCTTCTACTTTGAGTTGCAATTGTGGAAGAGAAAACAATATGGCATATTAAATAGTGATAGTAAACAAACTCTTTGAGAGATACTCTGTTAGGCAGTATGAGATGAAAGATGAATGATATACAGTCTTTGCCAAATGGTGTTTAAGACCTACAAGTTGTTAATTACTTTTGCCAGGATAAATGGGACATTTCACTGAGTAAAAAAACAGCATATTAAATCATCAGATTTCACACCCCTTTGAAGTGCTTTCTACCACATTCAGCCAAACGTTGAGGCTTCATTAATTAATATTAACTGACAGAAAATAGCAACATGGGAAATACTCTCAATTTGCCAAATCAATACACTCAGTTGATGCTTTTAGGTGATGGTTGTTGGGTCGTGATAAAATTTGAAATTATCTTAGGATTTTGATCCCTTTCTGGCTATTTCTTAAGCAGATTTATTAACAATACAGTAGAAGAGAGTTTATTACTCATGTTCTCACCATTCATCTCTTCAAGTTCACTGTTGATTCCAACATCAATAGAATTCATTATTTTGTCGATCTGTGAAAAGCAAAATATGTAAGCGGGTCATTACATGTGTTTTTAATCATTGCATTTAGAAATAACTACTAAATGCAACAAGTGTATTTTCTTGGCAGTTCCTGTTATTGCCACAACAAACTGAAATTCAGAGACCAATAGTACAAGATTTACAGGCAAGCAAACGTCTTTTAATTTTCAAAAATATATAAATTATGAATGTACCTATTTTTACAAATAGATGGCTCACTAAGTCAGGAACTATGGAGTCTTTAGACCCAGAAAAGAAGGGCTGAGGATAGGTTCAGTGTCAAGTCTACATTCTCTGTCATCATTCTCCTTCTCCCAGAAGGCAGGAACACTCACTGGGAAAGGCAGGTTTCAGTTTGCAGACATGGCTACTGGAGTCAAGTTCTAACTAAGTGATTTGAGCAACCACAAGACAGTTGGGGGCATTAGTTAAAGAATATAGCCATCAGAACAACTTAAGTCTATAAGATAAATGCTTTAATCTTATCTCATAAAAAGGGATTTCAATCAAGATTTCAGGAGTTAAACATTTTAAAACTGGCTAATTAGACTCCCGGAACTCCACCCGGAGCCTAGCCATGGATCTCTGCATCCAAATCCCTCAGTCGTTGGATAGGGTTTCTAGCATGACAATTAGGGTGTTTGGCCATCCCATCACCAGCCTAGGTCAGTTCGGGCTGTCTCTCGACCATTGCCAGCAGTCTATTGTGGGGGTATCTTTGTGGATTTCTGTGGGCCTCTCTATGAGCGAGAATTGTTGAAACCAAGGTTGGATAAAGCACAGGGACAAATAGCCAAACGAATGGAAACACATGAATATGAACCAATGGCTGAGGGGCCAACAAATGGATCAGGCCCTCTGAATGGGTGAGACAGTTGATTGGCTTGATGTGTTTGGGAGGCACCCAGGCAGTGGGACCGGGTCTTGTGCTCATTGCATGAGTTGGCTGTTTGAAACCTGGGGCCTATGCAGGGTCGCTTGGCTCTGCCTGGGAGGAGGGGACTGGACCTGCCTGGACTGAGTCTACTAGGTTGATCTCAGTCCTCCTCGGGGGAGGCTTTGCCCTGGAGGAGGTAAGAATGAGGGGCGGGCTGGGGGGAAGGGAAGAGGGGCGGGAGGGGGGAAAACAAGGGAATCTGTGGCTGATATGTAGAACCGAATTGTATTGTAAAATAAAATAAAAAATTTTAAAACTGGAAACACTAATAAAAACTATCATTATATAGGTTTGGAATTTAGATACTAAACTCTAAACTCTAGGCATTGAAAATCTCCCCCTCCTCATATTAGCTACCTGAATAAAATAAAATGGAAAGTTTCAAAAGTACAATGAACATTAATTACTTAAGTGTTCCAATTTGTTCATTGTGAAAAAGATGCAGAGATAGCAAGTGATTTTTTTTTTCTCAAACAGTTCAATTCAGAAAGTCAGTATCAGAGACAGGTCTATTCTGGTTCTCAGAATACCATAGTGATCTCATGTACTTCAAAGCTAAACCCACTTGACATAGTCTTTCCACAAACAAAAAATGTGACCTGTTAGGATGAAATATCAATTGAGACTTGGTCCATTCTTTAAAGAAATTCAAGAAAAATCAAGAAGCATTACTATTTTATAACGCGATCGATTCCCTTAGGGAAAAAGAGATTGCACAGTTTTACAAGGACCCTTTATTTTCTGAATAATTCTTTTAGATTAAAGACTTTGTCTTAAGTAGAGTTTAAAGTAGTGAGACTTGACCCTGAGATGCGTTTCCTCTTTAATGTGCCCCTCATAGCTACAAATGGGAAATATTAAATGATGTGTATTTGTTACATGATTCTCAAAGGAGAGCCAGAACTTCCAGCTTTCCCATTAAGGTTAGAATCATAAGGATCTGTTCTGAAAATATGAGATACTTCAAAGAAGGAAGGCATGCTAACAAAAAGTTTAGTGAGTAGCAAAACGACACGGAGCAAAACAAGACTTTTCCAAAATAAGATGTTTCTCAAACTGTCAGCCACAGTGCCTGGCGGGACATGATGGGAACATTCTCTTGTACTTCACAGCTACTTATTACTTCTGCTTGATCCCAATTTCTATGGAAACAAAGTGTCCCCCACACGTGTGGAAATGTGCTCACTTTTCCGCTTGCTGTGAAATTACTGTGTATTATCCACAGAACCTTTCCTTTCCTGTTGGAGCCGATGCATTTATTACCCACCCCCACCCCCAACTCAGCTTCTGAAAGACTTTAAAAACTGGAAATCTTTCCTCCAAACCTCATTCGATTCCAAGCCCGTATGAAGAGCAACAAGAAAAGCTGGGCTTACTTCTTCCCATTCAGACGTGAAGGAAGGTGTCCTTTCAGAATTGTCTTTAGAACTGCGTTCAGCCGTGGATGACTCACTCCAATTAACTCTCGCTTTGTCCTTTGAAGGGTAGGCAATAAGATCAGAATCAGACTTAGAGACATTTTTGGATAAGTGCATGTCGATCAGGGCTTTAGGCAATGACCTTATTCTCCCCAGAGTACACGCTCTCTCCACAAAGCCCCCTGTATTCACACCCCACTGGTCACCAGTGCGGGATCCGCTTCTAGACGTTCTTGTTCCAACAATGGTATGGTTCTCGAGCTGGTGGCTTCTTTTGTGGAAAATTGTCCTACTGACCACTTTGGGTTTAACTTTCTTTACCAAAGGCTCTGAGTTATTTTCTATGGGAGTCTGTTTGAAAGGCAAAGGACTGTTGGCCAAACTGGCTTCGTCTTGTCCATCTTCACATTGATTTCTTTTCCCATACAGATGAAAGGGATTTTCAGGGGACTCACACGCTGGAGAAGATCCATGGAGAAGGCCTGCAAACTGCCCAGCATCATATTCTTTTGGGGGATCATTGTCCTCCTGTTGAGAGAGGTCATCTGCAAGAAGGAGAAGGTTGTCAGGGTGCTTGCTTACAAATGAATCTGAAAGCCACCAAATGGTGCCATGCGTTCACGAACTTTCATATACCCAGACATTTGATTTATTTATACACTGTAACACCTTTGCTTTAGGAAATGCCCATGACCTTCCACTGCCCCAGAGGAAATGCATACACACATGTGTGCAGGAGGAAGCTTATACATTTGAACTAAATGTCTCTGATACACCTTAGGGTTTATTTCAAAGATATGACCTGAATGACACCACTGACTATATAGCCTTCCTTCTTGACCCTAGGGTATATGTTTGATATTAAATGGACAAAACTGGGTTTCTTGAAGTGGGATAACCATATCCCGAGCCTCACAGTTAGTGGTTATTGTGGAGTAGGCCATCAGGATAACCCTCCTCACTTCTCTCATCAAATAAATTCAAAAGCAAAATCCTGGGGGATATATTTAACAGAAACTTAAGATTAATAATCCTGAAAGTATTACTTTAAGTATTAGGTGAAGATGTTATTCAGACTTTATGAGCTAAACAAAGGGGAATTTTTCAGGCTCAACACAGGTGAGTGGTACATCTATAACATCACTCAGAAGCATGACCCTTCCACAAAACTGATGTTGAGATGTTACACGGCGTTCTTTCTTTCTCCTCTGAAATTGCACACCGTCTGGTTCCTTTAGATCTTTGCAAGTGCAATGCATAAAAGAAATCAAAGAATGGTGATTTTTTTATTGCCTTAGAAATGTTTCTAAGATAAAAAAAAACTCTCTGTGATTTAAAATACATTATCTTTTTTTACGCCTTGATTTGTCATAGAAAGAGAGACCGAGTAAAAACTTGTCCACAGGACTTACCAAAGGAAGACAGTTTACTTTGTTTTACAGAAGTAATATTAATTCATAGAGGTCGCTAAGTACTTGCCAAGATGGAAGTTTTGTCATGGGATAGGCCTAGAGCCTAGTCTTGAGAAGTTGGAAACAACCAATGAGGGGCAGACTGACAACACACTAAAGCTGATTGGCTGAGTGACACTTTAAAAATTTAATGATTATTACAAGACTCAATTTCCAAAGAGTTTATGAATTAACAAGTAACATTTAATGAGTCTGGGCTACGTCTAGGCACTGAATTGAGGGTTACATTCACAGCATCTCATTTGACCCTGTGATCTAGTTACTAACAATAAACATGATTTTCTGAGAGAAAAATCTTTGGACAAAATAACAAATTTTTCTACTTTTAAAAATTGGAAACCACAATGAATCTCAGCTGACATTTGTTCAGGAGCGGGTACAGACGAATCTATTCTTGGTACTGTATGGGCCCTAGGCCTCCATGCTTCTCTCTTCCCTGCAGCAGGTAAAAGAAGGTTTCTTCTTGGCTCTGCATATCTCCAAATCTCATGCTGGTTCATGCTAAAATTTCCTGAGGAGATCATATTTTTCTACCCAGACCTATCACGCCAGCACCTTAGAATGGAAGAAAGAAAAGTGCCAGTAACTATCAACTATCTGAACAAGAAGCAATCTATATCCGTCTACTGCTAGGCGGTAGCCATATTGGTTTTAACACAAAAACTCCATCTCTTTGCAAACAGTTACCATGTTCTATGTCAACTGTATTTGGCATTCTTCTCGCAACAGAGATCCTTCTTGGGCAGAAGTCATAGTTGGTTCAAGACAACCATCAATTCTTTAAGGACTAGTGTTTATTGCTTCTTATGTCTACTTGTTAAGAAATCAAACCAATACACAGCTTAGCTTGCTGAAGTTTCTGTGCTTTGCATGTAGTCAAGCTATGACTCAACCCAAGGTCTAATGACTCCAGCATCTGCTGGCTGGAATACTTTACACTGAGATGAAAGAATAATTTGTGTTGGCTTACTAAGAAAATCATGGGGGCTCATACTGGAGAGGGTCATGGTTTGCTTTCTCATGACTATTTTTAGAATGTGAAAAAAATGAAGTACTTTTTCTCAGAGACAAGCTAATATTAGGAGGAAATAAGACCTGGCAACCTCTTCCAATTTATTTTCTCTTCCTTCTTCCTGGGTGACTTGGACTCTCCACCGCACTTTACAGCTTGGTATGAGATGACAGTAATGGTGGGGAATGGTAAAAAGGAAGAACCGTGGAACAAGGAAGTTTAAAATTGCATTTTGAATGATGCTGTAAAGGCTAAAGTGATTTAGTCTGGAAGGAAAATTGAAGAGTGTGGAAAGACCTATTATCAGAAAAAGGTCTATAAATCTTAGTCAAAAGGGCTTGTGACCATGTTAGTTATCTGGAATAATGAGAATTTTAGGGACACTATATTTAAAGTTTAAAGGATTCGGTGAGTGATAGTTTAAGGTTATCATCACCTCTGTGTTTTGACTAAAATGACTATAATTACAATCTCGAGTGATTCGTATAGACCAATCTCTCTGGGCACAAGCAGCCACTTCTTTAAATGAAAGGGAATTTAGTTCTTAGCTTGTAAGCTTAGTCTTTGAATAACAGTCCTTAGCGTCATGACAGTTGAAAATATGTTGGCCCAAAGTGGTAGAATAGTTCTTGCTTATTTCAGGGGTCAAATTTTAAAGGTTACTCAAATCAAAGAAAATGAGAAATTGATTTGAAACCTGAAATGACTGATTCATCCACCCTTCCCTATAGCCACACCCCTTCCTATAGCCAAACCCCTTCATACAGCCACACCCCTTCATATAGCCACACTCATTCCTACAGCCACACCCCTCCCTGCTCCCAGTCCTAGACACAGACTGCCACTGGGGCCAAGTGCCTTGCATTAGTCAATGAGACAGCAGCAAACACAATGTGGGGACATAGACGGTCTAAAGTGCTTCTGCATTTAACCAGATGCTCTTGGAATCTCACCACCATGTAAGTCACGCTGAACTGCTACATGATAAAGGGACACATTCAGTTGTTTTAAAATGTAGTATTTTTTTAAAGGAATTTTGGAGTCAATACAGGAAAGGATTGCCACTGAAAAATAGACTGTTATACTCAAAGATCCAAGGAGAGGGACATATATCACTCTGTGGGGCCACGGGAAGGTACATGAGTCCAGATAAAAGGCAGAGGGATTAGGGAGATTGTGAGCAAGTGTCTTTTTCTGGATTCTATGGGAAGGGACAAGCAAAGCTGAAGTAAATCGATTTAGATTGGCTAGTCTGAATCAATTCAGCAGAGCAGAAGGGCAGTCTCCGGTAGCTGGTGCCTGAGCCCAGGGAATTAGAGCAACCTCAGACCTGTATGACAAATGATCATGGGATAACAGTGCATGCCGTCAGGATGAGCTGAGGTGGCCCAAAGTGGAAGAAAACACCCAGATTCAGGAGCTAAATGAAGGCCTGTTATTTAAAGCCACCAGGTTTGAGGTGACTTGATGTGTTGTAACACACAACTGACTCACATTAAATCCCAACTTTTCAAAAATCTGTACATTCTTTAAAAAACATTCCATAGTGCTTTCATTTCCATATCATGACATCAATAGTATACACCTAAATGTGTTGTGACCACTGAGTGAAATAACAGACCTGTCTTAGCTCATTGGGTAGCTCTAACGAAACACTATGAACGTAACGGCTCACAAGTAACAGAGTTGTTCATTACAGTTCTAGAAGCCGACAAGCCAAATGAAGACACCAGAAGATTGTCTGATGAGAGCCCCTACTTTCTAGCTCATAGATAGCATCATCTAACTGTGTCCTTACCTTATAAGGGCATTTAAGGGAGCCTTCTATAGGGGCACTAATCCCATTCATAAGGACTCTGATCTCATGACTCATCAGCCTCCCAAATCATCCACCTTTTTCTATCCTCCACCTTGAGGGTGAGGATGCTGACTTATATATTCAGGAGGATACAAATATTCAGATCCCAGCAAGAAACAAAGACAATTTTCGTTGTATATACAAGAGAAAAATATGTTTATATTATTACAATAAACACATTTTAATCTAGGGGGTTCCATGTTTTATAAGGAAATGCAATATTAATTGATGGCATTGTACATCAAATCAAGATTTTTTTTTGACATGGTAACTCTGTAAGTTTCATTACTTTAATTTTATTTAGACATCTTTATAAGTACACCTTAGAAAGATTTTTGCATTGTGTTACTATTTCTTTAGATGAAACTTAGGAAAGCATATAGATTAAACTGTTTTCATAACTTGTCTTACTCAATTTCATACTTCTCTTTTGAGAAAGGAGGTTTTTTGTGCCAAGGTAGAGAAGCAAATATGTGTGAATTCCAGTCTGGTAATCATTAGCATTTCAAAGAAATGTCGAAGTCTGTACCTAGTGGTAAGTAGTGCAATCTCCTTTCTACCTTTGCTCCTGATTTTTATCACCTACATAAAAATCTGAATAATAGTCAATTAAAATTTTCATGTTAGGATAAAAACCAATTATAGAAAAAAGTGACTACTATTACAGATCAAACTTTTGGCTGTTAGTTGACTTCATTCCCCTTCAGAACAATATCTAATTTCAGAGACTCTAGTGCTAATATTGATATTCATAGGAGTGATTGATTTATTTCACAAATGCATATAGAACATGTTCCATGTATTTGGTGGCAAAATTTCTACAGGACCAAAGGCAACATCACTCCTCCTGGGCTATTATATTTCAGAAAAAGGCACAGCTACAGACAAATAAGGAACAGTCTTGTTTTGGATTAAGTTATGGAGCTAAGATAACCAGGAAATGAGATAGGAATGAATAGGTGTGCTATGAGGTGAAAAGGGACTGTCCTTCTGAGGAGCTGACATTGTGCAGACACAGGAATCATTGAAGAATTGAACGCTCAGAGTTTGGGGGATGGTGATTGCAGGTAGAGGGGAGAAGAAATGAAAAGCTTGGAAAAGTCATCAAGGAAAATCAAAAGGCTACTATGGATGCAACAGATTGGCAGGGAATGTGTGGCATGGTCGGGAAGCAATAAGAAATGAGGTGAGGGTTAATATTAT